TTCAGGGTTTAGGGTCTGGGGTTTTAGAGTTCTGTAGAGGTAACATGGGGTGAATAGGTGTATATATATATATGTATATGTATATAGAGGGATGTTTAGGGGTAGATGGCACAATATTTATGGTGGCTTGTAGGGATAGAGGATAGGGTTTAGGATATATATATATACATATGTATAGAGACAGAGAGATGTAGGGGAACGTCGCGGCCCCTAAGCCCCAAAGTCTAAACCCTGAACCCTAGACCCTGAACCCCAAACCCTAAACCCCGAACCCTGAACCCACCCTGCTGTTGGGATGGAGGGTTTAGGGTTTAGGCTCCATTTTGAGAGGCCTTGGCGGAGTCCTTGCCCTGTGAGCTGACGGCCTCGGAGATCCATTGCGTGACGCTGGGATATTCCTGGGAATGATTAGGGACTTACGGTTTAGGATTCAGGGTTTGGGGTTTAGTGTTTAGAGGTTATATTTTTCGCGTTGCTATGGGCCATGATCCTTACCTAACCCAGATAAACATATACCATATACATATCTATATATATATATGCATGTATGTCGAGTCCGTAGATTATTCCTATAATCCCTATATAAATAATTACCCTATATAATGCCTAAACTACCAGAATTCCCAACACACAACCAGAGTAGATTCTTTATAGGCCCCGGTGTCAGGATGCCCGTCAAAAAAACTAAAAGCATATACCCTGAAACAACCTTCAAACCCTAGAATCCCAAAAACCCCAAACCCTAAGCCCTAAAACAACCCTAGAACCCTAAAACCCTAAGCCCTAAAACAACCTTAGACCCTACACCCCCCTCAAACCCCCAAAACCCGAAGCCCTAAACCAACCCCAAAACACTAAACACCCTTAAAACCCTAAAACCCTAAGCCCTAAGCCAACCCTAAAGCCCTGACAACCCTTAAAACCCTAAAAGCCCTAAAGCCCTAAGCCCTAAACCAACCCTAAAACCCTAAAAACCTGTAACACTCTAAAAACCCTAAAACCCTCTGCCCTAAAAACAGCCTTCAAGCCCTAAAACCCCTTCAACCCCACAAAACCCTAAGCCCTAAACCAACCCTAAAACCCTCAAAACCCTAAAAACCCTTAAAACCCTTAAAGCCCTAAGTCCTAAAACAACCTTAAAGCTCTAAGAACGGCCCAGTCTGGCGTTAACGCGCGCCAAAACGAGGCGCTTAGCCAAATAACCCACGCCTGCCAGTGTTTCC